GCGATGCCATTCTGGCTGATGTTCGTTCTTCTCCGCAGAGGTGCCTGTAGTGGACGCAGATAGGTCAACTTTTGGTTCTGCAGTTTTACCTTGTGAGTAGAGGTCTTCCTGAGCAGTTCCAAGGGGTATCTTCTTCCAGTGTCATGATTTCACGGTAGATAGAAGAAAACAAAGAGATGCGGGTTTGCTGCATGAAGGAAGACATGGAACAATAATCTTCCGGACCCTGAGCATCTCCAAATTGATGCCAACCGAGGAACTTGCGCGACAACGTCAGAACCAAGTCACTGTTCAGACCAAAAACCTAACCGAGCGGCAGAAAGGAGGAGATAGGCCACTTGCCGTTCCGAAAGGGGCTACTGGCTGAGGAGATGCCTGTCATTTTAAGGCAGCCATTGTGCGAGTATCGTGTCCGCGAGGCCTTGACGAAGAATCGGTTTGGCCCTTTTGCAAATCTGGCCACAGTCGTGGTAGATGCCACCATTGCGCAAGGGAGCCTGGGCGAAATGCCTTCCCTAGTGATCCACTCGCATATTGGACGCGAGGGAACCTTGGCCACCGAATCCTGTACGTTCCTCGGGCTCTCCAGCCATGCTCTGCTCTTCGGGATCATTTCCTACATCGCACGTGTCAACGAGCAGCAGCATGAGGGTCTCTTGGCCTGGGTGCCTTTGTGATAAGGCCGGGGGAAGCGATTTTATGAGCAGAGGGCCGTGCCTTTGAAAGCAGTCGAAGCATGTAAGCGTCTGGCCCAAAATGTCATCCGGCGAGAATCAATCGCTACCGCGTACCACCGATCAGCGGAACGAATGAGCCCAAGGGAATGAATCAGAGCCGCGTCGGCTCCCTCGTAAAGCCCGAGAAACTTGGCTCTGCCTGGTCTTGGATCTTCTACTCCATGCCGGAGCCGTTTGATTTGGCTTCCGGAGTCTGGAGTCCAGCCGCCCCGAGTAAAAGTCGATTCACTGCAAGATTTGTGTAAGAGGCATCCACTCCCCTGCTCTGAAATTTGCTTCGTCGAAATACAACGAAGAAAAGTGGAAATGGAGCGATCGACCTGGAACTTTTCAAGGATTGACTTCTTGCGATGTCCTCGCATTGCATAAAATGGCTCTGCGGGAACTCGTCATCTAAATGGGCTGTTGAGCGCGCAGAATCTGCCCTCACCCCTCCTACATCCTGCCAGGACGGGACATGCGTGCCTTTGAACAACAAGACGTGGTTGTTGCTTCGACTTGTTCTCCAGCATTAGGGGTCAGTCTGTCGATGGCGCTTGGTGCATCTATCGTGGTTGGTGCCAGCATGGCCATCATCCTCATTCGCACTACCGCCGGATTGCTGAAGGAGAAGCTCGTATGTCCCAGGTTGGAGTCTGTCTTGGGAAATCACCGCGAGCAGTTTGTTGACGCTGTGGTGTTTCTCTGGAGGCCCACGTCGACCTCAGGGACATGTATGTCTCGGACGAGCGTCCTTTGGCTCAGACCTACTGAGTCGCTGATTATACAGACATCCATTGGCCCGAAGGAAGATAGTAATGGTGCAATCACGTCACGAGTCCGGCTCAAAGGCCGTAGCCCGTTGGGCCGTGCTCCAGTTCATACTCGACACCGACGGCTTCAGCAACGGGACCGTTGTCCATGCTTTCAGCTACCGTGACAAATACGGATAACAAAATCCTTTTTCATGTGAGCAATCGGGCCGAAGCCTCGGTACAAAACCCGCTCCTGTGGGCTCAATCAAACATGGATCCCCGTTGACCACCGATATAATTATCGGACAGCTGGGCAAGGCAGCACTCAGACCGTCTCGCTACCTCAGATGAGGCCCCCAGTCGCAGGAGCTGTGTTGGTAGATGACTATCTGATCCGAGGAGGCAGGAGATCAAGGCCATGACGGATTTACCAGCGTCGAGCTGGATCGGCAGCGGAGGCTGTTTTACCTGGTCGAGACTGAGCATGAACCAGTTGAGTGCAGCCGTCAAGCTGGTCTCAAAAGTCCACTGTCATCCTTGAACAGGGACACAAAAAGCTGCAACGACAAAGATCGCGAGTGATGGACTGGAGGGACAAGTCTTGTTGCTGTTACAAGGGCTCAGCGCCTCAGCCTTGCGAGGAAGCGAGGCGCGAGGCTCAGGCGGAAAGGGGCCGCTAGGCCAAGACTCGATGCTTTCCTCTTATGACATTCCCATCATGTGCTACTGTGAAGAGTGCCTACCATAGTGAAAAAATGAGGTCATGGTCCCTGTGGTAGTTAATGACTCGACCGCGTATTGATGTCTTGGTCAGCTGCATACTTTGCGGTCGCTGGTACCTTAGATGCCAACTTTGTGGGCGAAGAGGACACTGAGAGTGAAATGTTATTGGTCCCCTAAGCATCTCCTTGTAGGGTGCAGGGGAAGAGGCCAGGCGGCGTTTGGGTCGCGCTTCAGGCATCCAGAACTGTGTGGCAACCCCCTGGACACCCGATGCACCAGGCCGAGGCCCCCACAGCAATAATATCCCCGATTCCACCCATTCACTTCTCGGTGAGGCTGTGGCTGTGGACTACCAGCGTCTAGCCCAGCCAAAGTCGCCGTTAGTGTCTGTGGGGGTATATTTCGCCTCTGGATGCAGAAAAGGAATATATTGACCGTCCTGCAACCAGATATGCATCTAAAACTTGCATGCTGCAAAATCCGCCTCACTTTGAGCAGTCACCAAGTGAAAGTTTCTCTGCCTGCTTTCTTTGACGGCTGGGTGGATTGTGGAAAGGAGTGCATGTGGCGAACGGGACCAAGCCAAACCGCTGGTTAGATAAAAATGAAGGGTGTGCTGGTCGGAAGTGTTAGGTTGGTGTCATTCTACTTTACTAGGTCCGCCAAAGACTTCCCAACCTTCCAGCCAAGGTTAGGCCAGAATCACCTTGACAGACCTGCAGGCCGAGCAGCCGGCCAGATATTCGACCTGCCTGCTGGTAGTGGGACTGGCAGCAGTGGGAGGACTTTGAGTGAATTCTTGCTACCTACCAGAGTCGGGGTGGACGGGCCGCAGGTGTGATGATAGAGATTCTGAGGCGATCGGGCAGCTGCCGCAGCGTCTACAGATCGATAGATTGTGAGATAGGGAGCGTGTGTAGAAAAGGCGGAGAGACCGTGAGGCTGAAAAAGCTGGGCAGAGGGACTGAGAGCAAGTGACGGGCAAATTGGGAAATCAAACTTGCCGCGGCGCCTGCGATCCTCCTGCCGCACAGTGCCTGCGCCCACACCCATCCAGACAGCACGAGAACTCCACCCCTCCTCATTGATTCGAAACTACCTGTAGCCGCCCTAGACACGCACGCACACAACACAGCCCAAGGTGCAGACTAAATTCATTGGAATCCGTGTCTTTGCGCCATGTCCTATGCACACGTCAACACTACTCTCTCGGTCCCGTCTTTCTCCCATCCTTTCCATGCCACGAAAAATGGCCAAGCGCGGTGACAGACTGCCAACAGCAGGAGTGCGGCATGCTGTGCTCTGAGGTATGTGGCGCCCTTGGAGGGAGGTCGGCTAAGAATATGCATTGGCTCTACTACCTGGCTAGCTTGAAGGGCAAGCAAGCGTTTGATGAAGAGGCAAAACAGCTGATCCAGACAGGTCAACAACCACCCACCCTCGCTTTCCATGGCTTCTTATTCGCGAGCCACTAATCCGAGTAAGCGAAGGATACCACACGGAGCTCGACTGTGCATGATAGAGGACCCTGGCCCTTGAGCCAGACAAGGGAGGTAGTAGCCAAGAGCCACTGAGCGTTCAAAGAGACGTGTCAACTGCCTCCTGCAGCGCGCTGCCTTCGTTATTGACCTCTTATTACAAAAGAAATTGACTATGTGCCGCTAGCCTCGTGTTCATGCACACACATGTGTCAATAGAAAGGGAAAGGGATGCCGATCCGACTTGCTCGCTGGAGCAACGTTGCAGGAATGAACCGTATGTGGCAGAGTCTGCTACCTCTCCCCCATCTTGATATTGGCGCATCTACGCACTTTCTCGCCTGACATGGGAACTGTACTCGGTAGTGAAAATGGAAAAGATTTGGACCCATGTTCGATAATGGCACGTTGAAAGGCAAGGAGCTCAGGCGTGCTGGTGTGCGGACATCCGAAAATTACGACAAAGTTGGCCAACGAAGGTTGGCGCTCCATGAGACGACACCTTGGCCACGAAGTCCCACATCCGCGACGTCCAATCACTCGATTTGCTTGGGTTTGGTCAACTGCTAACGAAGACTCAATGCACGCTTCACGCTACCCTCTCATGCAACCCAGACTCAATCACTCGCACACTTCGGGTCGATGATTCATGACCTTGACCATGCCTCTCCTTCTGGTCTCCTGGCCGTCACGGTCGCTCCAAGTATCGGAGGAAGGGGCGCCGGCAAAGCTGCCAGAGCAAACCTGGTCTCTTTCACCCGCCCCTGGTTGATTTGGCTTTGCATAGGAATTAGAGCATCCAATGGACACGAGGAAAGGTAGCGGCACAGTTGAAGTTAGATGGGTACGAAAATTGGAAGCCCTCCAACATAATGGTGCCCACGCTGGCGTCCGACGCCACCACTACCCAGTCGCCATCCATGAGAGGGACGGGGAAGTAGTTAGATGGTGAGAGGCCGTGAGACCGGTCAATGAGTCGTCAATTCCTCTTCCCCAAGTCGCGTTCCAACGTTGAGCAAAACCTTGGACACTTGCGTCGTGTTGCACCTGACTTAATGGAACTTTTTCGCGAGCCACAAATCGGATTGTGGCATAATAGCCAACATGCATCCAGAACCCAGCCACCATAGAGCGAGAAGCCAAAGCCGCCTACCGACAAATACCAGCCGAAATGCCACACCATATTTTTTGAGCTTGAGACCCCTCATTCCCTTAAAAAAAAAACTCGCAGCACCAGCAGATCCAACGAACTACTGGCTTGAAGTTGTTCTGCGTCACCGTCAAAGCGGCTGTCCATCCTGTCCCATCTCCTGCTGGACCCAGGCCACCTAAGCCTTTTCCAGATTAGACTTCATGAAATACATAGACCTTTCCATTTTGGCACGCAGGAGTGACAGATCGTCTCGGTACGAACCCCAGATCTTGACCCTGCTGTCGACACCTCGTTCCATGCGAAGAGCGTTGAGAAAGACATCGGTTTTGCGGTGGAGCCCGATAACTTCGTACACTTCGTCAATGTTTGCGTCTTGGACGTACTCATTGCCCTTGGTCACTTCCTCGATTCGCTGTTCGAGGTAGTCGGAAGCCGTCCGCGTCATCGACGCTGTCAGGGCGCCATGGACGGCGTCCAGCTGATGTGACCAAGAATCTAACAAGCCACCTGGCGACATTTCGGTCGGGAGATCAGCAGGATACAGCCACAACAGCAGACTGAGAGAATCGTAAGTTTCCCACATCTTCTTCAGTAGCTTGACCACAGACTCAGGCTATACAGTGAAGCTAGGGTATCAGCAGTGGTGACTATCTGGGGGGAAAGGGTCTGATACAATACCCCGTAAGCATTGGTGATTGACTCGTCTTGGAGAGGATGGCATCCTCGATCTGGGCTGGGGAACTCGATGGCCATGAAAAGGAGACCATCTAAGTAGGCCAGTCGGACCGAAACTGGGCCCCAGCCTGCCATCTCCCCGATTCGGTCGAAGTGGTGGAAACCCGTATCGGCGATCCCACCATCGTGCCAGCTGTCGAGTTCTATGCTGACGAGAGAATCGATCGGCACGACCACGACATGATTCCGTCTCGGGTCAATGGCGTCTCGGGACGACAAAAGCCCCTGAGAGAACTGATCGGAAAGAAACGAGCAGTGTAGCATGTGATCGACGCGACCTTGAAAGTAGGCCTCTGGGCTCGTGGCCACAAAATCCATTAAAGGAGAAGACTTGGGTATTGTTAAGAGACTAATCAAACCTGGAGTATGGAAGGGAAGTGAACGTACGGAAGAGTGAGATCAGAACGCGGAGGGGGAGTAGGTGAGTTGAACTGGACCAGCAGAGAAGAAGGCTGAGGCGCAAGAGGTCGAAGAGGCACAAGAGGCAGAATATGGAGATGAAAATATGAAGAGGATAAGAACAAGACAAGGAAGAGATGGACTTACATAGTCAATCGGACGGCTGAATCCCTTGGCGGCTCTGATCACATCACGTTCCTCTGACCCCATGTAATTCATTCATGCATCCATGCATTCTTGCATCCGCGTCTGCAGCAGCTCTGCATCTCCCTCGCTCTCCTCCATTGGCACCGCCACGGACCGAAAGACCCTACATCTCCCTGCTTCGGCAAAACTTGGACCTCAATAGCGAATGCAGTCTACTCAATCCCCGTCGCCCCATCGTCCCGTCACCTTCTCACCTCGCTAGTCGGAACGCGGCAGCTGGTCACCGCGCCTTCATCCCTTTTCCCCCACGATATCTCAACACCGCCATGTCATCAAGATCTGGACCGACGATAGAGAAGGGGACAAATGTAAGAGATGATTGGGAGAAGGGGGGGTTCCAATCAATCAAAAGAGGAAACCTACCCTGGAACATCCTGAGAGTAGATGCACAGTCATCCCAGCCGCGGGGACCTTGATGGGAGCTCTCGTAGGGAAGAAGGCCTGGCTGGCTGGTTGGTCAGTTAGCTAGTAGACCGGTCGACCGATCGACAGCCACTTCCACGCTGGGTCATGACACCATGACAGAAATGATTAAGAGAGAACTGCTAGAGAGAAAAGAAACAAAAAAAAGGGGCAAACGGGGCCCAGAGGTTAGGTGTTGGGTGTTGGTAGGAAAAAGGAAAATGGCCTTGTCATCCGACCTAATATCCCGTCCCAGGCAATTATTTTTCGTTTTGCCGCCAAAAGAACGCTGTTGTGCAACCACCCCGTCTCTCATGTTGGCCAATCGCCCCGGACTTGACGCCCCCCCTCGAAACCCTGAAACCAATTCAAATCAGACCAGAACCGGAGAAGTTTTGTCTACCTCTATTACTCAGTACCCTCGTCAGGCGACAAATGGAGCGGCAAGCGAGTCGCGGGGAGGATGATGGCTTGACCCCATCGAACGCGTCCTTTTTTGGGCAGGCCGAGTGACGGAAATCCTGATGTTGGTTCGATTCAACCTACTAAATTACAGTTCAATGCGTACCAAGAAGCTACACTCAATCTGGTAATAGCCGGCATCAATCCCGCTTAATGATTGGTGGTTTCCGATTTCACTGGGTCTTGTCCGTCCGGCTGTCCGTTACTGGGACATCATAATCTGGGGGTTGGGAAGAGGAATGACTTGACCTTGACAGGCCCCTCAGCCTTGCAGTCCCGTCTGATTTTGCCATCATGCGAAGAGACCCATTACCACCTTATCGTCCCTGACGCACACGCACACCATCAGCATAAGTGGTATCCAAGACCTTAGTTGCATATCTCGTGCGCTGGGCGGTCGTTTGGTGGGCAGGCACCTCGTCGGTCGAAGTATCGGATTCGTCTTTCTTGGAGCAATTGATATAGACATACGGGTGGTCCGTGAAGAGGTGGTTGACGGACTACCTGATCTTGCTTTTGTCCTCCTCAGACGGGAAATGGGTCCTCGGGGGTTTTTTGGAAGTCACGGCACGTTGGTTAATCGCATGGGTCTGATCTAGTGGAGGCGTCTGGCCCTGAAAGAACAAGAATAGCAGATTCGGGGAATAAATGAATAATAATAATTAAAAAAAAAAAAGGGGGAGCACCCTAAATAAATGGCATGAAGAATGGAGCAACCAACTGACGAGTTATCGTGTAGAATGCATAACTGCTAGAATGACACTAAAAGGCTGGCTCGATGACGAGGGAACTACAGGGACATCCAGGTATCAGAACGACATTCAGCAAAGTGTGAATGCGTGAGTTTTCGTGAATGGCATTAAACATGTGGAAATGCTGTCTGGAGTATGAGCATGTTGCCCTCCTTCCAGCAATAGAACCACTCTGGCTTTCTGTTTGCTCTGTTTGCTCTGTTTTGCAATTTGACAACTATATACAAGGGCCGTGTTCGCCGCCTATCGGTTCTTTATGCAATTTGACCGGCATGAGACGCTGCAATGAAACCGCCTATCATGGCCGGGCCGATGGTGGACCCTGGGCCGGGATACCGGCGACCAAACAGTGTTGAGGTCGTGTTTCCCGCAGCATACAAGCCGGGAATCGGCTTCCCCCCTTTCCCCAATACCCGCCAATGTTCATCCACCCGCAGACCCCCTTTGGTGCCGACGTCACCTACATACAAGCGGACGGCGTAGAAAGGCGGCTTCTCGATCTTGCCGATACAGTTGTTTGGGTGGTGCGTCGGGTCGGCGTAGTATCGGTCGTAGGGGTTCTCTCCTCGGTGGAAGTCTTCGTCGATTCCTGAGACGGCAAACTCGTTGAATCGCGCCACCGTCGCTCGGAGCTGCGCTGCGTCAACCTCGCATTTGTTGGCCAGTTCGACCAGGGAATCGGTCTTGATCATGAAGTCTTCCTCAAAGTACCGTTTGGGCGTGAAGCCCGGCATCGCGTCGCCGAAGGCGTATTTTTGGCGGTGCGAGGCGTCGAAAATCAACCAGCAAGGATTATGTCCGAGATCGTCCATGTCGTTGGCCACGTCCTGGTAACAGCCAGCTTCGTTGGTGAACCGCTTTCCAGCCTTGTTGACCATGATGCTGTGTGGCGATGCCCTCTCCCAAACATTAAAGACCGGGTGGTCGCCCGGTGGGAACATCATCGGTACGCCCCAGCGTCCGTTCATGTGCGCGACCTCGGCCCCTACACTTTGCCCCAGTAGAATCCCGGTGCCTTGGTCGTCGGGGTTGGCCATGGTGAACTTGGACGAAGCTTGGCCGTATTGCTGGCGGAGAGCGTCATTTCGCGCAAATCCCCCGAGTGCAAGCAAAACACCGCGTGTGGCTTGGATGCGTAGTGGTCGACCGTCACGACTCACACTGGCCCCAACAACCCTTCCCTGATCCGTTATCAACCCGGTCACTCGAGTGTTCCTCCATATTGGTACCCCGAATTGCTGAAGGAGGTATAGTAGTCGCGACGGAATCGCCATGCCCATGGAAGCCAGCTTGGCCCCTCGAAGCCGCGCCCAAAGCATCCGCGAGACCACTTTGACCAGGGTGGCGAACCCTTTGCGCGTGCGTGTAGCGTTGAGCATCCTAGCGCTTTCGTCCAGATACGCCGGGAGCTCGGGATGGTGAGGCCGCACCCGCATGGTGTCTCTCCAGGGCCCCAGTTTGTTAAGGTCGAATATTTCGCCCGTCAGGTGTCGTCCAATGCGAGAGCCTTCGCACGCGTGGTAGTCGGGGAAGTCCTCAGCCATGTGCCACTGGAAGCCGCTTTCCCGGAATTCCTCGACCATCTCTGCACCGGCCCTTACGTACGCCTGTCGCTTCGCAATGGTGCTCTCTGGGCTCGGCTCTCCGACTACGTTCTGAATATAGGTCATGGCCGTTTCGATCGAGTCTTCCACACCGGCTTCCCGCATTAGAGGGTTGTTAGGGACCCAGACTCCGCCAGCAGAGTATGCCGTCGTTCCACCCCACAGCTTAGAGCCTTCCACCACGAGGGGTACCAACCCGAGGCGCGACGCTTTCAAAGCGGCAGAGAGCCCGGCACCTCCGCTTCCTGCAATCAGAAAATCCACCTTAACATCCCACTCTTGAGGCCTTTGGCTAGGGGATGAATCGGCGAGAGCCGTGGTTTCGGGGAGGTCGGGCTCAATTGAAGTGGCCTGAGTAATTAGCACATAAACAGTCTTCGGATCTCAAAGACTTCACAGACATCTGCATGTTGATTCCCGCAGACTGAAAAAGGTCTCGTGTTGCAAATCCGTTGCGAAAAAGCTACCCTGGTGTAAAGCAAACTGGCGCATCGACGCTGCCATGAAACAGCAACTTAGCCTCCATAGGCTGCACAAAATCAACATGGTCAACTTACAGGCGATGATACTAGCCTCTGTTGCAAATGCAAGGCCGAGTGACGCATTGGAGATCTTCTCGTAGCCTGAAATGCTAATCAACCAAATCTAAGCAGAAGTCACCTGTTCCTCACTGGGGAAAGCAGAACATTTCCACGAATACAACTGATTCCCCAGAAGTAGATGAGAATAGGTGTCGGAACCCCTGTCTGCATATCTTCCGAGATTTGTGGGGGTTGTCAGTTCTTTTGTCGCTAGTGTAGCAATTAGGAACAAGCGTAGGCAAAAATTCCCGGGCATTTTAAGGCAACACTAATGCTTGTGCTAGGGTCTGATAGATGTCTACAACATTGTTAGATAGTCTGGTCAATGTTTTGACGTAAATATTGGGTGGGTTTTTGTATGCTGACTTTTGCCCACGACTTCGAGTCGCCCAAGACCGAATCCGTCAACGCCTATGCCGATGAGTACAGAAAGGGGCCTTAAGAGGTCTTTGAACACCGTCTAAATTGACCATCCCGCTTGCTGATCCGGGAGTCTGTTGTTCTCCGGCCTCCGGCCCAACAGTGTCGCCGAGGTCGCCAAACGAGTGACGGACGGATCAAACACGAGTCTTCCGATTGGCTACTGAGAAACGCGATGATGTGAAGCTTTCATGTGATTAGACGAATTTGGGTTGGAGCGTCTCATCCGTGTATCTAAGTATGAATGGAATGTAGATCAGATTGATGAAGAAATCCTGTATACAGAATATTATGAAGGGTCGAAGTTGTGTGCGGGTCTTGTATATGAAATATATTGAGTTTGGCGTAGTTGCGTTGTGTCGCATCACGCAAAGTGGCTAGAGACATGGAATTGTGATTGACCGTAGAAATAGGTCACCGGTACTCCAAGGTCTTTGAGTAAAATCCAGTACCGATAGTGCAATAAGAGAGTCGAGTATCAACCACGATTACTAGTTGGGAAGGCAAGAAGGGAAGAGCGTTCTTATCGACGTCAAAAGCGGCGGCGGGCCCAACCCCGCCATACCCAAAACGGCAGGACCGCCTAAAACCGAAGGCGGATTACCCGCAACGACTTTAATACGAGGGGAGTAGTAGGCCAAGCTTGGACCAAGCGCGCTCTGCAAACCCCCCCTCCCTCCCGATGGACCGTCTGGCTGAATATTCCTCCTTCTCGGCGTGGGTTAGGCCTCTTCCCCGCTTGCTTCCCTCCCTGTCAATCAGAAACTTGTCAGCAAGACGCCTATGACATGCGACATGACATGGGCCATGTTTGCAAGGTTGCCTCCGAAAGGGGAGGGTGGAATCACCGCATGTTAATATACAACAGACAGACAGACATAGTTTGCTATGGGTTTGGCAGACAAGACCATACTGATTATTAATAACACCACACTCCCCGCTGATGGGGGGCCCATATTCACCATTATATTCGCCCGCTTCTGCCAAATAAGAGACAAGATCGAACCTGCAAAATCAAACCATGAGATGCCCAATCAAACAAACCTGGCTGGGCCACCATCAGCAGCACCAGCAAGACTGAACCGTTTCCTCTGTCCTCCAAATCTGTCTTGCGTCCCTCCTGATCGGAAAATGAAATGTTACGTCGAAGCACCGTCTCTCAACTCGAAGTGAGGCGATCAGACGAGATACAAACATGCAACGTCGTCTTTTGCCAGCTGGCTTGGAGACTGCAAGCGTCCGCGTACCGAATAAAACTCTCCCAAGATGATCTAGGTGAAAATGTTAGCGACGATGACAACGGTGATGAGGGGGGAACGGGAAGGGAGGAACAACGCTAAAGATACGCAAGTCTATTGCCCCCGGAAAACTCTGAACTCTTGAATCTTATCAACCTTTCCGCTGGCCCACTTGACGTTGACGTGTAGACCGTCGTTGTGGTCGCTGCACCCCCTGTCCGGTCGACTTCTGAACGCCTTTTTTCGGCGCTGGGCTGGCTCTAGGACGCTTCGCAGGTCGCGGCTCCTCGTGATCTTGGTCGTCTTTGCTAACACCATTCGATGGCTTGTCGAGTTGTTGAGCATCACGTTTGGAGGTTGTTGCGGTAGGCTCCGGCCCAGGGATCACGGCAGCCGCCTTGTTTGCTTGCTCGATGAATTCGTCTCGATAGGTCTTTGCCAGGTCGCGAGCGTTTCGGTAGGCAGTCACCCCTTCTCGAAAATTTCTCTCGTTCCCGCTCATCGCATATACGTTCACGAGAGTCATATGGTAAGAAGGTTGGCCTTGAGGGATGGTGGGCGGCGTGGGGTGCACAGCAAAGACGCTCAACATGCCACCTGTGGGACGGAATGTGGTGGCAAGGCTGTAGGCTTTGTTGTCGTATGTGGGCTTCACCTCTCCGTAGTTCTGTAGCTTGTGCATAGCTCGCGCCCCATGCGCTGCATCATGAAGGGCCTGAAGTTGGGCCTCCCGACCACTTCCATCCGAGCCTTTGAGCTCCAAGAAAAAGTTAGGCGCAGCAGGACGAGACCCTGTGGTGCAGGGAATGATGTGCTGATCGAGTTCATCCCGGACGCGCTGGTCAATTGTGTATGGGTTCGCTCCATAATACAGATCAGGCTGGGGAGCAGACATATCTTTGCCCAAGGGTTCAAGGTTGTTGAAGCGATTGTTCAACTCTGTCCGGTGTTGTTTGCCTTCCTTCCCAGTGACGATCGGGATGATCTTGTGCATCGTCGTTGCTTCTGTGCCGGCTTGTTCCAGTTCTGCCCGAAAATCTTCGAGTTCTTCCTCGTCAAACTGAGATGTTCCCACAGATAGTCGCCGCGAAGCAAGACTGGTTCGGATATCGAGAAAATTAAGCGGCTTAGGCTGATGACTGTCATCGGGCAACTTGTGTCCTGGGGGATAGAGGCCGTTTCTGACTAGTTTGCTTTCAAGATTCACCATTTCAACAAATCTCTCAGCAGCGCTTGTTGATTTATCGTCGAGCCGGGGCATGCGGTCGGCAAGCTTTTCAAGTCTCTGGTTAGTCACAACTGGCATAACACCCCAACCGTGAAGGCGTACTTACTCCTATCAGGTGTGATAAATCAGGGCCACCACGGCGAGCGAATCTCTTGAGACGTTGTCGAGCTTGTCCTGTAGGATCTCCGGCATTGGATGTCAAGCTGTATAGTTTTGGCAGATCCGTTTCCTTATGAACTCGGCGGTCATACTCCCTTAGAGAGGCGAGAGTCAATGTAATTTTGGAAAGTGAATCCTGAGAGCATGTGGCTTCGCTGAGCTGAGCACACTCCTCCGGGACAGCATCAGTCTGAGAAACCATGGGTTTTGGCGAGAGCTGTGGTGTTCTCAGTTTCGTCGCTTGAAGCACCGACATCATGGTAGACGAGGGAAGAACAGGAGGCAATAGCGCTTTATTTCAGGCAGGCCGTTGAGGAAGGTTTCAGAGGACGTGGTCATCGGACTGGCAGTTATACCCAGATGACTTAGAATCAAGACAGCTAGGTATGTTGATGAAGGGGGAAAGGGGGGATGATGTGGTTGATTCCCACATACCAGCGCTGTAGACTGCGCAACGCGTTGGCATCGTCCCAGTTGTGCATAACATTGGCACCTCGCAAATGAGGAATTTCCCACATTCCATCTTCTTTGTCTCCTCCCCTCGAGCTTTTTCGGACGCCACGTCGTTTTGTTTTACACAGAAAAGTCACTGTCCGAAACTTCTCGCCTCGATTGAGAGCGCTAGCGTGATCACCAAGCTGCCCTCTGCACCAAAACCTGCCGCCATCCACCAAGTGATACATTCGGCGAGAGCGACGAGGGTCAAACAGGTCGAGAAGGAGTTGCAGGTGGGAAGATGGCATCGGCCTCCAACGAAATGAGCCACAGCAGCGGCAACAACGATGGCAGCGGCAGCGACCTTTTTGTGAAGAGGGTTCAAGAGATCAGGATAGGAGACAAATATCAGTTGATGCGGAAATTGGGGGGCGGCGGCTGCGGTCAGGTCTATTTGGGTAGGATAGAGTGCTTAAAACATCCGATGAGCCAGGCCCGCTGACATTTTCCAAGGACGCGACCTTGACACTGGCCGGGAGGTAGCCATCAAACTCGAGCATTGTATGTCACGGCCGCAGCTACTCAAGAATGAGGTCAACGTGTACCATGATATGGCGGGCAAGATCGGATTCCCTCAGCTCCATTGGGACGGAGACGTGGACGAGTTCAAGGTCCTGGTCCTTGAACTTCTTGGCCCCAGCTTGGAGGACTTGCTTCGATATTGTGGCGGTCGATTTTCCCTCAAGACGACGTTGTTGCTGGCTGACCAACTCCTCCAGCGACTTGAAGTGCTCCATTCCCACCATTACCTGCACTCAGACATCACTCCCCGAAACTTCCTCCTTGGGAGGGGACATCGCGGCAACGTGGTTCATGTCGCTGACTTTGGTCTCACGTTTCCCCACAACCATCCATCGAACGGCTCTTCATGCCCAGCGACTCACCTGCGACAGATTCCTCTGACGCACTTGGTAGGTACCGCGAACTATGCCAGTATCAATGGTCATCAAGGTGGTCGTAAGTGTCTCAGTGGTGGACTTGCATCTGCACGCTCGTAATTCTGACATGGGCCACAGCAGAATCCGCATGCGATGAACTAGAGTCTTTGGGATACGTGCTGGTGTATCTGGCAAAGGGGAGACTTCCTTGGCAACACATCCAGGCCCAACCCATCTTCGTCGTGGATCAGCACCCGTCCCTGCGTATCTCGTTCATGAAGAGCACGATGAGTGCTGAAGAACTCTGCGAAGGCCTTCCTGACGAATTCGCAATGTACATGAATTATGTGCATGGCTTGGAAGAGAGAGACCAGCCTGATTATCGCCATCTTCGAAGACTCTTCGACAATCTTTTCCGACGGCAGGGATTTGAGTCCGACAATGTCTTTGACTGGACACGACTGGAGTTTCTGCGCCTGGAAGCTGCAGCCGACACTGGGCCGTCAACGGTACCAGGCGTTATGGACGGAAGCCGTGAAGGCACTGCGATATAATTCGATGTTCCGGCTGGGGACTCTGCCGCCGGGGCTTCTCAGAGTGCATGGAAATTCCAGGCATAAGGCGAGTTTCAGATGTCGGCCGCGAAGTCCTATTCTCGAGATAACTAGCCCTGGTTTAAAACGCCTGCGCATACTCATGTGACGTGACGAGTCAACCTGCCCAGGTCTTTGAGCAGGGAGATCCACCGAACAGATGTTGCGTTGTGCACACTCTGCAAAACCAAGTTCCGCCGCACCTCCGGGGGATCAAGACGATCCGAAAAGCGAATGGTCAGAAGAGATGGTGGCACTCGATGTGCAATCGAAGGACCAAGTTTGAAGAGGAATGCCAGGGGTAATCCGCTTGATGGCGGAAAGGTTGGACTATTTTCTCATGTCATAGTAACGGCTTCTAAGTGAAGTCAACGAGACAGGATATTGGCTCCTTGATCCGGTAGCATTACAATCAAAAGCGAAGACCAATGTCGGTCCCATTGGAAATGAAGGCTCCCTGACTCTCTGCTGGTGCGATCGCGGCCGGCCGAAATCTGCACGGAGACGTAGCATTCCACGTGGAGAGTCTGCCATCCTTCAAAGACAGATTTCCAAGTTATAGAAAATCTTTCGCGGTGTGGTCGATCTCAGTCAGATTAAACATCATCCGCAGCCGACTGGAGTCATATCTGAGCGGTCGTGGTGTCCTCTTCCGCTTCATTTTCATCTGCGTGATCGGAACTTGTCGTCGGCTGATCCATTGCTAGCTTCTGCATGTCGCAAAGATATGCGATTAAAAGTCGTCTGGCTAATCTCCCGCCCCGTGTCGCACCTTAGGTTACCATCCCTATCCCAGACGCTGCCGCCAGGCGGTGACGATGGCGACGAGGACAATACATGGGGTTCAGTACCAGCATCTGCCAGCCTGCCATGCAGTCATCTAGACCTACCGAGATAAATGGGTTAATCTCAGGTATCTCATCGTGGACTCCTAAGTCGCTGGCTTTCGCTACGGATCAATTCGATGTGAGCGGTCCGAAAGATCCAGGGGCATGTACAAGATGTGGCCTGGGGTACAGTTTCGTCACGGGACTTGCTTCGGGCTGACTTAGGCTGTCAGAACGTGCCCGTTCCTCGCAGCCGAGCGGGTGATGTTGGAGCGCGAATCGAGCGACATTGTCGTCACTGAGGACATCAAGTGCTCGATGACTTCCCAGCAGCAGGAGCTCTCCTGGAATATCTTAACATCGTGATGGTGGCGGACGGGAAGGCTCAAGGGTCGACGTGGACCGACAGCAATAGAATTTTCCACATGAGTAGCTGGGCGTACCCCTCTGGCTATGGATCCATGAACGCTGCTGGTCTTCGAACCAGCCACAGGTAATGATTGCAGCAGCACATCCCCAACAAGTCTGGTGCAAGCCTGTGCAGACCCCGTCTAAAAGCCAATCTCCGTTGCGGACTTGAGGGTGGCTCCGGCGAAGATGTTCCTACATTGCAGGTCGCCAGGTGCAACAACGGGGAGGGTGGCTGCAAAGTACTAGGCGAAGACTCCCTGATAGAGGCTCGCTTTGCGTTGGGTGCCTTCATGCTCTGGCATTGCTCATTCATTGCGTTGATTGGTTCTGATTTCGTGGCGAAAGGTCCGCTGTTACCCACCGATCGAACGCCATAACCAGTTCGGAATAGAGCCTGGCGCAGGGATCTGTCTCCGAGACCATGCGATCCGCTCGGTGATCAAATGGCACGCCCGTGAAGCAGACATTCCTTCACCAGCATCTTCTCTCAGGGTGTGAGAGTTAGCCATGTTGCGTCTAGAGCCTGCCCGTTCACCATAAATGGAATTTGCTGCGAGACGCGCAGACGAGACACGTCGATGTCGCTCAATAATTGCTGTTGACGGCTCCGTCGCAATGGCAATGGCGCTGTAGCAGCATAGTTAGGACCTGATATCGAAGGTGGCCTGGCTTGTCACGCTCCAGACCTGAGGATATCATTGGGCAATCTAGAGCAGGAGGAATCTCTGCTGTTAGAGCACCATTGTGGCATCACTTTCGAGACGAAGCAAATTTAATCTCGAAGAGGTGGTGGAGCGGAAGAAGTGTCGAGGGTGTTGCAGCACTAGCCTCGTGTGGGTTTCTCAGCCTTGAGGAGGTTTCTCAGCCTTGTGATTGGTATTATCACGTGACACTGACGTCAGGGCACCTGAAACTCCAGACTTCTCCCTTCTGTCAAACCCTAGAGTAGGTGTGTTCAACACACAGAATCACTGTCCAACAGGCCCGTTAACCCCATGTTGATCTAGAAAAGCTTGTACAAGGTCTATGAGCCCATGTGACCAGATGTTGATGCCGCTTTCACAGAAACAATTCTCACCAGACTGTTTGTGGGAGCCCGACACGTTGACAGCTCCGCCGCAGTTTGTCTCTTCAACCTCTCTTTGCCCTCGATGACGAACCCTCGCTTGTGACGATTCGTACCTACTCTTTGCCTCCAAGGGCACTATGCGAACGATGTCTTGACGCGTCCTTTGATCAGTGGTCAACCAACGGAAGATGACATTTTTGTTGAGCATACATTCTTATCAGTGTGTGTCTCGGAGCGTGAATAGACGGATCAGCAACAATACCTTTATCATGTCTTGGGACGTAGCTGATCCAAACCACAACATCTCAAACCCTCCAGAGACGTCCGATCGAGCAGCCCACGAGGTGCTTTGGCCGAACTGTCCGCTGCGATCGTCGATAACCCGATCAAGGGCATCTGCTGGTAACTGGGAATCAGGGATGAAGAAGAAGAAAAGATGGAGATTTGAGTTGGCATACTGCAATGAATCGGCCGCTTTTGCCTTGTCTGAACGGAGACAATACACATCCACTCCGGACTAGTGGCACATTTCATTGAGATATAGGAGCCCAGTGCTCTGTTGCTCTTTGCGATATCTTCGAAGTGAGGATGTGGTTTTCGTGACTCTAGTCCAACGCGTGTGGTCCGCAGTCGCGGACGATACCAGTTTCAAAGGAACCCCAAGCGTCTCGGTCGATCAGTATGGCGAGCATCAGTCGATCTGGACAAGTACGGCAGGATCGAAGGAGATAACATAAACTAATGGTTCGCTTGACAGGAAAGCATCTTTGGCAGAGGCTTTGAATCTCATTCACGACGCTGACTCCGACCGCAAGCAAATCTGGTGGGTCATTGATGTGCCTTTGCCAAGTAGACGGATGCAGAACACACGCTGGACGCACTGGAAGCAATGCCGGACAGCCGAAGTAATGAGAGGATACTGCGCTCCTTGAGGTCTCCTTGATTCCCCGACCCTAACAGGACCAGTGACTGGTCGAGACTCAACACCCTGATCGCAGTTACTTGAGACTGCGATGCTCTCCTCGCTCCCATTGAGGTTAGAGCCGTTCAAACCAGGTACGTGACGAGCACACGAGACACTGCGCATTCTGTGTTTGTCAATGGACCATAGTCTTTATTGCTGAGGACGCCACATCCTCATACGGTCTCGACATCAATTGTTCTCTTTCTCAACATCCGGTCTGTCCGACCAATGCTGGCTGAAATCAACAAGCCCAGGCCCGATACTCAAAAAGAAAAGGCGACAGTAGATCACAGATTACCAGCATTTCATGCATGTTTGAGCGATATCGTTTGGACAGTTCGACTCGGCTTGTTACATGAAAGTAATCGAAGGACCAGCGGCCGGAATTCGACCCTTTAGCGGTGGATAAAACAATGGGCATCAAGATTGGAGAAGATGCATGAGATGAGCGAGACGGGCGAAAATAAGCGTCTTCCACGGCCTTTGCCTATTTCCCTTCCTATGCCTCAAGTATCTGGTGTTGGTAAGCCTTGCGTGAGATTCTGATCACGTGAGAGAGGAAGCAAGGCTGTATGTATACAGAGAACAGAGAGCGGAGGGGACAAGGCGTGGTGTAGGAGGATGGTTTGATTGCACATATGTGCGGCGTCTGTCTCATGCTTAGAGGAGCAGATGTGCCAATGGCTGGCGATGGGATTCTTCCTGTCACGTCCTCCTTGTCCAGATCTTGTGGCAGAGAGCCGAAGAGAAATGTCGGGTGTTGTTGTTGGTCGATCCGAAGTTGTGGTATAGCCTAGGAGTGGTGGGTTACATGGCTTGGTCCCTAGGAGGGTGGTAGTGGTGGCAAGCCTGTAGCAAACATGCCAGGGGTGCCACGCTTTGCTTAGGGGCGAGTGAGGCTTGCCCCCTTCGCGGTGATGGCCTAGAGCCCCCAAGGCTGGCAGGCTAAGAGGAGTGTGAGGCTAGCCTAGATAGTTGGGCATTCCTACCCACGAGTGTTCACCCTTCTCGCCTATCCAAATGCTCGGTAGGGAGCGAGGGTCTAGAGCAAGGACCCCAATAGCAAACTAATACCTACCCAGGGACGAGGTACTCGGCTGTACCCAGAAACCCAGCATGCACGGGCCTTTCCTCCTCTTTTTTTCCCCCTCGTCTTCGTATCCTCCGTCTCCCTACGCCTCATCTTCCTCTTCCTCACACCCACCAAAGAGTACCCAATTCCCTCTCATGGCTCCCTTCTTTAGGTTCAGGCCATCTTCTACCTGAACGCCACGAGTCTCTGTGGTTTCCTAACACAAGATCCCTTGCAAATCCCTTACTTGTCCCTGAAACTTGTCCCCATCAACTAGTGGTCCGCAGTCAGGCTTCTCGGCTGTCAATGGCCAAGCTGCGCTAAACGTCTCCGCGGCACGCCGGTCGTCGGCCATGGATCCTCGGTGACGCTGGACGGGGCCATGATTGGCCTCTCACAAATCATGTTGGGACAGTTGTATTCGTCCTGGACAACTGTCAAACTGCTTCCAGCGCTCTATGCCTTGGACGCCGTACCATGTAACTTTGGACACCTGGGAACCATTCACAAGGATGACGTTCATCTCGATAGGGCCACGGGCAGAGCAGTGGTATGTGTGTCTCTCTCCTGTGGTCCCCTTGCCCATGACGATCACTGACAGGAGTGCACGGTGGCTGTGTGGGAATGAGGCTGTCAGGTCAGATCAACGACCATCGGTCTCGCTCATCGCGACCCAGACACGCGGCTCGGTAGATTGATCCCTGTGTAACCTCGACCCCCTTCACGCTACTTTCGACGGCATCGCATCCGCAAACATTCATTTGCCAACCTCAATTTGTTTGCTTTCCATGACAAAAGGCCCAGGCCAGCTGAATGAACCACATGGAACCCCCAGATCATCCTGACCCTGGATTTTCCCACCAAGTGAGGCGCAGAGACCTCCCACGTCCAACTCCCAACAAGGCTAAAACCAGAGTGATTGAGACTGTGATTGTTTTACATCTCGGATTCCAAGACCCCACACCCATCATCATTACACCAGCCAGAGCAAGCAGCATGCAGTGCGGTTGATGGCTATCAGAGTTTTCCACCATATCACATGCGCTAAGAAGCGCGGGATGGCACTTTGGGGCCGCAAAAAAGGAAAGCAGGTTCAAATTCCATGAATGGAAAGTGACAGGGTCGGAGATCCTTGTCAAGAAACGGGTCTGACAGAGGCCCTTGGGGTTAAACAATGCGGCACGGCGAGCTGATGGCGGCCACGCTCGACAAGTGGTGATGTCAAAACTGTTCGGCGAGCGCAGCATCCCAGGCCTAGCTCGAAGGATACTGGTAGACAGAGTGACGGTGCAGGGTATCGACAACGAGATCAGACAGCAGGTGGAGCCCCGTCATCGGTCACCAACGACAAGAAGTATGGTTCAGGGACCGAAGGCTAGAGTCGCTGCTTCACTCACGTTGGTTGTGGTATACCTGTGCCTTGCCCTGCAACTCTCGAACCTGTCAATCCAGTCTATCAGTGAGCGCCGGCCAACCTGCCCGTGCCCCCGAAAAGCCTGCCAGCCTCCATATACTGCCTCTGCAGCCATATCAAAATCCAACCGCATGCCTCCCCTTCCTTCCAGGCCGTCTCGATCTAAGCTGTGGTTGGAAACCAGTTCCCTTGACCTCCTAAGGTGCGCGATGACCTCCCCGCCAACTCTGTTACATAGAGACGGGAATCTATCTGATTGTTTAATTGACCTCTCCCAGGTATCATGGAGACCGTCGCACAAAGCGAAGACCTTGGCCGTTGTATCCTCGCCGTTCTATTGACTTGGATTTTCGCAGAGGACAATGCCTTTGACTTGTCATGCCGGCCAGCATTCGGAGTCATCACACCTTGGAATATAACCCAGACCCAAATGTTTATCAATGCGCACTTTGCCGGCCGAAACCTGCGCTGGGTCGAAGTTTGGCAGCAGGCCTATCACCTGGGCAAGCTTCTTGAGGATGCCGGGTATGAGAATAGCGACAGCAAGTTATGGAGTATACATTTCAACTGGCTGATGAATGCGGCCATTATCTACCTCTGTGCAGTTTCACGAACCGTCACAAGAGACTTCCACCGCCCTCGGGCTTTGCCAGTGGAGGTGATGACCCAGTTCATTGGTCGACTCTTCAATATGCCATTCACCATCCAGGACCTTGAGTACCACATCACCCACTGGGTCACCGTGCTCTCTGGCTGCGCTGGGAAAGTGCAGGCCAACCCGAACGCCTCTGCTACCAAATTGGAGTGGACCATGGCCAAGTATTTAACGGTGCCTTTGTCTCCTCTGATGCCGAATATCTCACGACAACTGTGTGGCCCTTACAGACGTTTTCATGAAGAGGTAGTGCAGTGGTACCCACCTCGTGTGTGGAGAAATCGCCTCACACCCATGTCGCCATACCAGACGAGTAGCACGGACATCGTCTTTAACCCCGGCGCATATACCAGCGACCACGACCTCCCTTGCGGTCTACGCGTGAGACAATTTGTACCCCGGAGAAGCGAGCGACGTGACCTGCCCGTCCTCGTGTGGTTCGCTGGCGGTGGATGGATGCTGGGAGACATTTCGGGAGACAATAATGTACTCAGTCAGATTGCGGTCGGTAAGTCTGTTCTTTGTTCAAAGCATGAGCAGGTACTGATTCTTCTGTGGATTGTGGATGTCGGGTTTTCAGCGGTGCTTATCGCCGTCGCGAGTTTCCTATCCCGCATGATGACGCCTTGGTGATAGCAGACTGGGTCCGGAATCGAGTGGGTAGGCGAAACATAATTATTGCTGGTGTATCATCGTGAGATGCCCTGGATCCCAGCTGAATGCCGACTCTGCTGATCTGCAATCACAGGGGCGGAAACCTCGCTGCGGCCACAGCGTTGACATGGTCAGCGCAGGGACGCCCTCCCGCCGGACTGCTCCTCATTGCTCCCAGCCTGGATAACACGTGGGACTGTGAAGAACGATGGCGGGAGAACTGGGACGCTCCCTGGCTGACTCCCGCAACGATGCAATTCTTCCAGAACCGGTGCTTTCAGGGACCTGGAGACAGATCCAAGGAGAATTGGAGGGCGAGCCCAATCTACGCCAACCAGAGGATAATCGAAGCTACCCGAGCCTTCCCGACGAAGGTTGTGGCTATGGGTGGTGATATCCTGTGTCAAGAAAGCATAGATTTTGTGGCGCGCTTGGAGGCGGCCAGATGTCCGACGACTCTGAGCATCTTTCCCTATGGTCACACGGGCTTGTTGATGCAGGGTATTGTGGGAACGGCTCTGATCGAAGAGATGATTCAGTGGATCAAGCGGCGAACAAAAAGTCCTGGCGGGGTCTCCCAATCCTGGTGATGTTCCCGGGATTCCTGTATGTGCGGATGTTTGGATGGGGATGTACAACCATCGGAAGAGAGGCGAGGGCGTAAGGGAAGGATATGTTGTATGGTGTACAGGATAGGATGATGGTGTGGTCAGTCTCCCGGTCTGTTGATCTATATTTTTTCGGACTTGTGTATCAGGATACCTTTGGACATGTTGTCTTGCAAGTCCTCGCGAGAAAGGGGACGGAGTGGGAAAGAGAATGAAACGAAGGGACGAGGAAGAGCAAGAGGGGCGAACAAAATCCAAAGTGCGTGACTCGCTCGGTACGAAAAGCCGTCTTTTCTTCAACTGGGACGGGATGGGATGGGATCGAATGATACGGATAGCTCAAGTAAGCTTAGCTGGATAACTAGACATCCAAGTATCCAAGTATCCAAGTATCCAAGTATCCAACAAAAGTAAAAGTAAAGTATACCGAGTGATATTGGGCAATGGGCATTGGGCATTGATATAAATCGACGCGAGCGAGACACGGCAAGACGGGGAAAGACAAGACAAGATACGCTGCCTGCATGCATGTCATGTGGTCTCGCGGTGTGGGTTGTGTTCATGTTCGTGGTTGTACCAGCTAAACTACCTACCTACCTAGGTAAGGAGGTACCTACTGTAGATATCTACAGGAGGTATGTAGGTAGTAGAGTACTACACGAGGAAAGTGTACATAGTACTCAGTACGCAACTTTTATTCTCCCGTACGGAGATATCCTTTCCCATGTCTGTTTATGTTTCTATTTCTGTCTGTGATATCAAAGGCGTAGCTAGCTACCGCCGTCTGTGATTTTCGTTCCTCGTTTGTCATCCAGGCCGTCCCGTCATTTCCAACATCAAGTAAAAAAGTGAATAAGAGAAGAAGAAGTAAAGTGACGACTAAAAGTAAAAAGTGCCCCCGAAAAGAATTGTGGTGTTTCCGAGAAACCAAGGAAACCACCCCCCGAAAAAAAAAACCCCCCGTGCCTGATGACATCCTCGCTGGAGGTGTTGTGGCTGATTTGTGGTCGTCGTGTCCATTTGCGCGTCCGTGTCCGTGTCCGTGTCGTTTGTGAGTAGGTTGTCCGAAGGTGAGAGTATATCGTCAATGTCGTAACGTTCGTACAAGAGGCTTCAATCGCCCCTGGCGCCAGGAAGAGAGAACAAGCCGAAGGGGAAAGAGGTAGAAAAGGATGAGGAATATCTAGCCATGACGGCTATAATTGCTCAATCGCTCTGGTGCTTTTGCTGGGTTTTTGGTGGAAGAGTTTGTTCATGTATTTTTTTGTCGAGTGGTGTCATTCCTCATGCTCCATGGCGGGTAGCGTGCTGCCCCTCGTGCTCATATATCATATACCGTCCGATGACAGGGCTAGTCTAATCGTCGTACCAGACCTTGCTCCTCGGCTTCTTGATGCGGTGAACGTACCACTTGGCTCTGACCCACTGGTATACGTTGATCGAGGGCATCGGCACGATCTCGACATGCTTGGGCTGCTGCACAACGAAGCGGCGCAGCAAGAACTCAAAGGGCGTTTGCACACCCCAGCCGTGGTGCGGGGAGAAGTGGAAGTACCCGGCCCCCATGCACTTGGCCAGGTTGAGCCCGGCGTCGTAAGCCACTGTCTGTCCGTAATAGTCGGTCATGGTGCCGACCAGGGCAATCAGCCGCCGGCGGCTGTTTTGATATCGCATCACCGAGTCAAAGGTGGTCACCGACGAGGTGCTGAAGACAAAGATCATGGCATCGAACTCAGGAAAATCCACAGGGTCCTTGCCCGTTTCGATAATGTCGAGTTCGATCAGCTCCGACTCGATGTTGACCCATTTGCCGTAGTGCACCATGTTTTTGTGCTCTTCGAGATATTCCCCAAAGAGATACTACAGTGTCGCAGCAAAGAACCTCGTCAGTCTCATCATCACCTCGCTTCCGACCAGCATCCCCACCTGGCAGTTCGCGCGCTTACCTGATGGATCAATGTAGTTTTTCCCGATCCCGGGTCGCCAAACACGCCGACGGTGAACTTCTTCCCTCTTGCCGCCATTTCTTGCTGGTGGTTCTTGCGGTGAGGATGATAGGGGAGGGGGCTCGCCACGGTTCGGTTGGAGATCACGTATGGAGATAATTTGAACAAATCTTTCTGAAAATGAGAAAGAGAAACAGGAGAGATTGAGGGGCGGGCATTTGGTCCTCTAAGTAAGAGAGATCGTAGCCGGCTAAGGGTTTCTGTATTCTCCGACACGCACTTAATTTAACTCGACCTGGAGGCTCAAGGCCTGCCATGATTGGAACAGTGGGCGGTGTAAGGTTCAATGGAGGGCAGGGTTGTGCGTGTAGCAAGAAAGATCCAAGGTGCCTAGGAAAGGGTATGAAGCTTCCCACCTTTTCATGCATATAACAATAGCCTTATGTAGTCCGACCCTGAGACACGCGACAGCTGCCACCAAATGCAAAGACGAGGGGTCGACAACCCTGTTGATCACTCAAGGGACAGACATCGCCATGGAGGAGGGGGTATTTTTGCTCAGATCGCACGGTCCACCTCCTTCCGCGAGGCGGATCGGCACCAAAATCTGGAAAAATAGTGGGGTTGGCCTCGCCTTGTTCCTTTGGCTTAGAATCTTATGAGTATCTTGCTTTCCATCCCCAAAGCGCTGGGAACAGAATGTCATGGATCCGCTGATAAAAAGCAAGATGTCGGTCGTGGAGAACTTGGGTTGAGAGATGGGCTCATCAGGAGCAACAAGGAGTGGAGCATAGGTTTGGCAAGGCTCAACTGGGGTCTGCGTCAAGAAGGCTGTGGACATTACTCGGTAACTCGAACATGGTGAATCTTCCGCTGGTATTGGTCAGTGGCCATCCATTGTTTTGCATGTATGTTTCATTTCAATACGCCGCCGTGGCTTTCAAAGAGCGGGCAGGAAATTTCGAGAGGCTTCTTCCGACGCGTGGACAAAATAAGATGCGAATAGCAGGCCTGTCGAACTTCGAGTAGGAGGGTCGAGACAAGGGGGTGTTGTTCTGGTGCATTTTGACAGGTGACTAAAAAAAATGCAGAGAAAGGCACGACAGATTGGTCCAATGAAAAAAGGATAATAATCTAGGGGGTCCAGTAAGGGGAGGCCCGCCCCTGGTTTATCGTAGACCGGGGAAGTAGGTATAGAATGACTTGGCTGGCGGGTGGCTGAAGTGAAGTCAAAATGAAAGGGAGAGAGAAAGCGAGGAGATGGACGAGGTTGGACAAGGCGCAGTTGAGGCTGCGCCAGCCTTACACCTTACGAGGTACTCCCTACTAGGACGGAGTCAGTCTGCCGTACATTCCTTCGTCCTGTCCCTTCGTACTCGGTGCTTTACTCGTACCTCCTCATCCACACCAAACACCAGCCTCCGCCAGCCCAATTCATCCTCTCTGCAGATGTCCAGAGACAACCCCGCACATGCGAATTCACGTTCACGCAGGCAGGCCGTCCTGCTCCAGAGACAGGTGTTTGTGGAACAGAAGGGGGCGCAGAAACAAGAGAAGTGGTTGACAGTCCTCGATAATGTGGACTCGATGGAAAGTAAGGAGACGACGGATCACGGCTGGTGCCATGTATCGCTTAGTACAACCTACCGATGGGTAGCTAAGAAACACACGCACAGACCACAAGAGTGCCTTAACCGTCAGGACTGTCCAGCAAGGGACATGCCCAGCGGGAAAGAACGGAGTCGCCCATCCCTAGAACAGCAAGCTACCGGATGATCTAGCTGGCATATCCGAAGTTTGACATGTTCGCAGTTGGACACTGTGCAAACGCTGATGAAATCTCCACATCCTACATTGAGAGTCAAGTCAGTCAGTCAGTCAGTATCGTCTCCATCCTTGCGCCATCTAGCAAACGGCTCGACAGGCAGTCCACAGCATTCCAATAAGCCATCAGCCATCTGTGTTGGCCCCCATGCCTCCTGATGCGTCTTCAGGCGCTCAAGGATTATTGTTTTGTTCCCCCCTGCCCAAGCACAGCTTTCTCTGCGGGAACTCTTCGGGACACACCATCCATCCCAGTCCCAAAGAGAGACCGAGAGATGGCCCAAACGATGCCTGAGACAGGAGTCCGACCCCGAACTGGCAGTCTTTTGGTGTGCTAACAACTAAAGTGTGAGCTTCTCTCGCCGAGGGAAGAAGGTCATTCGGAGGACCCCAGCTTCCGCCATCCACCTGCAATGCGATCCAATGCAGAGGACCCCAAACCGCTTTTCTTGGAGGTTTAGCTGCTTTGTATGATGCTGATCACTTCGCCTTGCGAGTTCGCGCATTCCACACGGCGCATCTAGCGTCGGGACACTGAGAGCGATCTGTCCCAGGCTCTTGGACTTCTGGACAGGATCCTGACGGGTACATCCAAACAGGCACTAGGGGCTCCAGTAGCGGGGGAAACCCTTCTTCTAGGCGAAACTGAAAATTGCGCCGACGTTCAAGGCAGTTGCTGCATCTGCCAAAATGCATCCTGCATCAGGAATCGAATGGCAAGTCATCCCGGGTGGACTACCCTGCTTGACAGTTTGCGCTGTGCGCCCCAACACTAGCACAATCGGAGGTCGGTCCTTGATTCCTGGCGGCTGTTCTTGCAGCTGCCAGCCGCCTAGCTGCTATCCTCATGACGCGTACTCCTGTTTTTTCGAGCTGAGGGAGAGCCGTCTGCGTGTTGCGTCAGCGAAGGTGGGCAGATTCGAGAAAGAAAAAACGATGCGCTTGCCTGCCTGCTTCGGGAAGTTGCGAAATCTAGTATGGCAGTACTCGCTATATGCCCACAGAAAACCGAGGAAGGGGATCGCCACGAAGCGAAGAGGTGCCGTCCTTCCAAGCCGACAAGATCCGACTCAACTCAAGAGCTGATGCATCTCCTTCGACTCGCACCCGGCACACTGTCCCCCTCGGAGGTAGAACGCATGCTGAAGCAGGCATTCGAATAAATGAAGTCAAGATTCCCATGTGCTCAGAGGGATAGCCACCAATTTCCGCTTTCCCGCAGCATAGAATGTATGCACGTTGGCCTTCCGGTACAAGTTATTGAGCATGTAAGTTTGTGTACCTTGGACTGACTGACTGGCCTTGTGAAGATGGACGGAAGTTCAGAAAAATAAGGCCATCTAAGTGTGATGCGACCTGTCCATATCTTTCTCTCTCTCTCTCTATACCAAGTCCCGAGAGATACTATTGCGAGAGGTCCGCATCTCTTCTCAGCTGACGGCTGCTAAGTTGGATTATCATCCTTAGGCGACCGGTGCTAAGTTTGTGTCTAAACCCAAAGGTTCCTCAGCGCTGGCGGCAACGGCTGAGAAAGGGAACGGACATGCCATTTGCGGTAATTCAGCGACATTTTCGTGATGCAGTGAACTTTCTAGCCCCGAGTCCGGTCGCATCAGGTAGCACGTCTAGTTCGCGGGTGTCTAGCTTGTTTTCACCAACCACGGGCCATTAGCGACCTGATCACTGTTCAAGACAGGTCGCTTTAGAGGTTTTAGCCGTCTGCTAGATTGGTTAAGACTCAAGATCCGGGGGGAATGGAATGGGGCCGCCGTGGAAAGGAGGACAAGGAAGTGGCCTGGCATCCTGGCTACAGACCCTAAACGATTTTCAACAAAGCCGGCTTCGCACGGAATCACCCAGGCCTGGTCGTCGGGATGCCCGGCATCGTATCTTTTGCTCGGCGAAGTTGTAGTCACACTGGGTGCTATTCACCATCAATCGTTTGTGCAATGGCTGTGGAAAAGAGTCCTGGACTATCTATGTGAGTAGGCAGGTAAAATGCTGGTGGCCTGGATCGAAACAACATCGCACTTGTCTGTCTCGCTGATCCATCGACCGATTGGCTGAGGAGGCGAAGGTGGTATGATTCGCTTCCGCAAAGGAAGGTGATTTGTTTGGTATATGGAATTTCCACGATCGTTCAAGTCCGCAGTACTCCCGCCCTTACTACTTGATTACTCTAGATGCCTTGGTCGTAAACGAAGACAGTGCTATCAAAGTCCTCGAAAGTCGCAGCACTTTGATGAGCGGCGACAACTGGCCTCGAGCCGCCTCTGCCGAAAGAATGCAGCCCAAAGTGACCTGGAAAGGGCCAGAACAGCTGGAAGAAGCGTCTCTTGTTCGGTGCTGCAGCTCTCTTGGAAGCAGTCTCCTGTCTCCTTCCCAAGACTTGAGAAGCTGTGCGTTTGATGCGGACTGATCTCACCAGGGAAAGGAGCAAATCGAAGGACATTCAGACGACTTTCTCCAACGCTTTGAGGAACGTGCTGTTGCGGCTCAGCTGTGAATTCTGTCTACACGGCGGATGTGCTCCCCTGCATTTCTCATACACTGGACAGATGAAATGCTCATGGACATCTTACAATTTGCGAATCATGAGATGAGTGTGGTCAGAATCAACGTGGATGGCAAACCTCGTGGTATCTCTTGTATTGGAGTTGTGCGAGGTGGAAGCAGTCGTGGTTCGAGGGACGCCAGCTGTGTTTACAAACCCGGAATGGCAAGCAGCATGACGATCCCAGGACGATGTTTCCAGATATATTCAGCAGTTACGGCACCGCAGAGTCTTCCCTGTGACGTCTGAAGAGAGGTTCGGAAACACCATCAAGGCCGCGCGGTTCGTGGGCACGAGGAGGCTCGGTCGATACGTCAGTCAAGTTCTACTGAGGAATCTTGGGAGAGCGGCTCAGATATATTTGGAAGAGATCGACGTCAGGCGAGAGAGCTTGTCTGTTCTTCTGTTGGTGCACAAGTCGTGGTTGATCTGGTCAATATCAGTTACTATGGGCAGAAACGCGGGGGCGCAGTTTGACTCGCCCGCCACACGTCGAAATAATAAGCGGTGACAGTGGGTTGACATGGAGCGATTGTTCTGCGATACCTGCTCCCTTCCTCGGGCCAAATGCCCTAATACCTCACAGGACAGTGTGTATATTCACGAGTTCCACGATCTGGCAGTCCTTGTGCGGCGGTGGATACGGTACAGCATTTGAATACGAGTGAGACTTTTTACGCATGTGGCTCAACGACTGACCGTAGGACTAATCCCCTGCGCTGCCATGCCACCTTGTTGATGCGTTCATTCTGTTCGCCTCAACTTCCTGCAAACAAGAGAATGGGACAGAATTCCACCCTCTTCCCAGGAATTTCCCAGTTGTCTGTCTCCTCAATGCGCTGCATTCTGAACAAACACCAACTCTTGTCTGACTAGGGTTTGGGTGCAGACGATCGCCTCCCAGCCACCGGCCACCGGCAGCAGTTCAAGGGCCCTCCCAACTCCGCAAGCATTTCCAGATGCTCGCTGAGCAACCCCCTTCACAATGATGTGAAGGTTTCCGCCTCCCTCCACTGATCCTCAATATTTCCTTGATCGAGGACCAGCTCCACGGAAACCTGCGAACCCCATTCTCGGGTCGACCTGGCGCGTCTCCGAGTCCACCTGTGCATCCTCAAGCTTCCTCGAACTGAATAATGGCCGATCGTCGCGACTGTGGGCTCGAGGACAACCCCAAAACCCGTCCCAACACTTTCTGTGGATCGACAGTCAAGCATCAACTTTCTTGGTCTCTTGAAGTTGGTCGACGTTCGTCGATGGCGGGGTGAGCCGAAGAGCAGGTCAAAATACCTTTCGGTCACAGCTTTAGAATGGGCTTACATGCTCCCCGCTCTGCTGTTGGAAATACAAGGAGGCGGGGGCTCACATGCTGTTTGCAGAAGCAGGGACCGCAGAAACACAATCATTGCAGGGCAGGCTCCATTTCTCATTGACCTCGGTAGCCATCGACGGAGGTGTATCCTGATGTTGGCATGCTACCCCTGTCTCTCCGATGAGGGATGGATGGTGATGGTTGCTCACCGTGATGGACTACCATATTCATCGCCACGGTGAGTACTCGCGATGACCAAACGCTTTCTATATGGCAATTTGGGTTGGCTTGACATCGTTACCTTCAATACCGAATCAAACCCGTGAGTTACCCCGACTACTGCAAAAGCGCCTTCTCTTCCGGGCTGGACCAGGATGCTCTACTACATATCCTATCACTGCCAGAAAGACTACGCTTGAAGAATTAGTACCACTGTTTACCTCTCATTTCCTTGCTCTATTCGCTCGCTTCCGAAATGTCACGCCCAGAACGAACCCAGAACCCGTTGATAAAATGTCGTTATGACATTCGCTCCATGCATATGCACGACCGGGTTCCTGCTCTTCATGTCCCTTACCACAATCATTGGCTCCAGGTTTGGTCTCTTGCATCACAGTTGCACATCCGTCTCGACGGGTCTCAGACGAATTGTTACTGGAGACACGTTGCACAGACGGGGAACTGCGGGTCAAGATCCCTGCATGTCCCAAGACGTTTTCCACCTTGGACGTTGTCACTTCAATCGACCCCATCACGGCCAGTTCAGCGACTATTACGAGATACCTGCTTTGACCCAAGATATTAATCTGACATGGAGATGCTCTACAGACCGCTCTTTCTGGCCGCCGCCGCCGCCTCCAAACCTTCGCCCGAGATCTCAGTATGGGTGTCTTTGAGGCTTTGTGGTTTGAAGCGAAGTCGTCGCTCTTCCTTCCGCTCGCCTGCTTGGCTCTATGGATATGCTACAACATCGGGCTTGTCATCTATCGCCTGTATTTCAGCCCCGTCGCTCACTTTCCGGGCCCCAGAATCGCGGCGGCAACTTACTGGTAAGCAGGATGTCATCTCAAAGTCCCAACCCGTCTACTTCACAGAGATCATCGCCCCCGAGCGAGTCGACCTAACATCCCATCTCAGGTACGAGTTTTACTACGATGTCATCCTGGGCGGACAGTACACTTTCCGCATCCGTGACCTTCACAAGCAATATGGCCCCGTTGTCCGCATCAACCCGCGGGAGTTGCACTTCTACCCTCCTCGATTCTACGAGGAGATCTACGCAGGGCCGACACGACGCCGCGATCGGTGGGAACGCTACACCCAGGGCTTCGGCATGCCTGGTGCAGGGGCAAGCACGAATCCCCACGACTTGCACAAGGCGAGACGAGCGGCCCTGAGCCCCTACTTTAGCATGCAAAGTGAGTTGCTTTTGTCAGAGACCATGGAAAGCTGGAAAGTCTTCAACGTGGGCTAGACAGACCCCCTGACGTGGACCTACCTCCAGGTGTTCGGAAACTGCAAAGCGTCATCGAAGAGAAGGCGGATCTCCTGATGGCCAGGGTCAGAGAATTCGGCAACGTGAGAAAAGGGGACGAAAGGAAGCCCTTGAACCTGGAGGTCGCGTTCGCCGCGTACGCGTACGGTAAAAAAAACTCCCCGTCCCTGGCTTTTTGGACCCTCCTGCCGTCTTCGTTTCCTTACGCTCCCAATCCACTGCCGAATTTACTGGAACTGATGTCGCTCAGATGTCATCACAGAGTATGCGTTTGCCCGGAGCGAACATCACCTTGAAGCCGAGGACTTTGACCCGTGGATGCTCAAGGCGGCCTCTTCCACGAGCTCGCTGGGCCAGATTGCAAAACAAATGTACTGGCTCTTTTGGCTGGTGTTGAATATTCCAGATTGGATGGCTCGGAGACTCGATCCGAACGGTATGTAAGGATGGCTTCCTTCAGACCGAGGGGTCCATCATCAACCGCACTGATAGTCGATATCATTGGCACACGACTGACCTTGTTGCAGCGAGCCGTTACTTGCAATTTAAGCGGGTAAGTGGTTGAACAGTTTTCTAGCCTTTTGTCCCCTTACCTATGTGCCTCGTCCCCTCGTCTCTCTCCGTCAATCCCGGCCCTTTTGAGCCGCCACTTTTTATTCGACCCAAACTAACAAAAAGCCTACTTTTGATCTGGCCTTCGGGGACAGGATATCAAGAACCAGATTGAAAACATACGCAACGGAGTCGACACGTCGCACAAGACGGCCTCGCACCCGACCATCTTCCACGAGATCCTCGACAGCTCCCTCCCGGCCGTCGAGAAGCGCACGGCCCGCCTCGCCGACGAGGGTGCCACGGTCGTCAGCGCGGGGGCGGTCACCACGGGCTGGACCCTGCCGGTGACGGTCTTCTACCTGCTGTCCAACCCGGGCGTCCTGCAGAAGCTGAAGCGGGAACTGTACGAGGCGATCCCGGATCCCACGAGGCCCACGCCCTTGCCTGAACTCGAGCGCCTCCCGTACCTCACGGGCGTCATACAAGAGGGCCTCCGACTAAGCTACGGGATCTGCACGCGCCTCGAACGGATCGCGCGGGACGAAACCCTCGTCTTTGTCGTCAACGACAACAACGACAAGCACGCCGACCGCGCAGGACCTACCACATGGACAATCCCGCCCGGAACCCCGTGCTCGATGAGCAGCTACCTGATCCACCGCGACGCCGACACTTTCCCCTCACCACACGAGTTCCGACCCGAGCGGTGGATCGAGAACCCGCGCCTGGACAGGTTCCTGGTCAGCTTCTCCAAGGGCGCGATGCAGTGTCTGGGCATCAACCTCGCGTACGCGGAGCTGTACCTCGTGCTGGCCAAGCTGTTCCGCGTCTACGGCGGCGGCGGCCGCGTCTACGGCGACGGCGACGGGGTGACGTTTGACGGCGACGTCGGCCGCCTGCACCTCTTCGACACGACTTTTGACAGGGACGTCGACATGCGCGAGGACAGGTTCATCCCCTTGCCGAGCAGGGAAGGGAAGGGCGTGAGGGTCCTCGTGGAGCTCTTCTAGTTTACAGTCGAGACGGAGCATGAAGAATGAAGGACGAAGGCCGATGTCCTCCTTGGCGTTAGCACATGAGAGAGGGATTTCCGCAGAGGTGAGTTGTGACTTCGCAGAGCGAATACACCCCTCGAGTTGCGATCGAGAAACTCAAGAAAGACATGGGGATATATCTTATTTTGGCACAATCAGACAAGAACACCGGGTGAATTTGTCCGGTTAGGAAAGGAAAAGGGGGATTAACAGAGTAGCGAGCAAGCCTTCTTCGAGGGAGGGGCTATGACATCCCCGAAACAGGGGGGTGTTTTTTCAAATGTCCCAAGAATATCTGCTCCCGCAGCGCTAATGTAGATGGAATGAGGTATGGGATGAATGAATGAAAGAATGAGTTTCCGGTTCAAAAGTTGACGGGTTGCTGGATGAATGAATTAGTGCGCGGATGAATAGGTGGTTATCCAGGTATATCGAAGAGCCGAGCAGAGTAGAGTAGGGTAGGGTGGAGTAGATCAATCAAAGCCCACCATGGGGTCCATAGGTATTTACGTAGTTTGGCTGGCCTTGCTACGAGTAACAGTGTAAGCGCAGGACGTCCTCAAGGATTAAATGGAGGCAGAACAGTTCAATCAGCCTCCTACGCCGTGTCAAAACAACTCACTCTCTGACATATAACCAGCGGTCCCTGTCCCGAGTGATGTCGCGAGAGACGTATACACTTCAAAGTCCAAAACCAAACAGCCTGAGCAAGTTGGAACAAAATCAAGACAGTAGTCTCGGCGCGTCTCCCTCATTTATTCGGAGCCACGTACACCTGACCGAAATCTTGTTGGTATCCATACCCAGACTGGTACGATGGAGGCCGCTGATACGCCGCCGCGCCTTGATAGTGCATCCCGTAAGCCTCGTGCGGTGGCATCTGCTGACTAGCCGGAATATACCGTCCTCGCCTGGACCTTTTGTTCCGTACCACGCAGCAACCACCCACCACGAGGAGAATGAGTAACCCGCAGAAGCCGGCAATGGCTCCGATGAGGATGGTCTTGTGGCCGGAGAGCCAAGATATCGTGTCGTTGATGCCTGTGTCGTCGGTGGGAGACGAAGTAGACGTCGACGTCGTGGAAGAGGTGGCGGTACTCTCGTACCAATAGCTCGAGAAATACCTGGGTAAGTTATCGACTGTTGCATTGCCGCCATAGTATGTGAGCATCATCTGCAAACGTGGGTGTCAGCATGTGGGAGATATCGACATCATGACTCTTGATGTTTCCATTAAAATGAAATGGAGTTTGACAGAAAAAGTTCTCTAACCGTGTCCGTTGTACCGATGGCATCTGTGCAACTGAGGTAGGTGTATCCCGCTGGACCGCCAAACGTCGCCGTCGCGCAAAGAGGATAGGCTTCATCACTACGTCCACAAATCCAGTCAAGCACTGATCGCTGTGGAGAATTCACAGAATGGCTCAAGGTAGCTGCCGAAGCATGAAGACATGGGACGAACCAAACAGTATTGAGATAGTTCCCTTGGCAAGCCATGTCGCAGCCGTTATTCACCATGGAATATGGCACACAGGAGGTTACCCAGGCGCAATCCGTCGTTGCAGCGTCCGCACAACAGCCGACCGCATGCAGTTCTGGAGACCAAAGGCAGGCTTGGTAGTTGCAGACAAGAGGCGTATCTAGACAGGCGAGTGCGGCCAAATTCGTCAGTGTTGTGCCGTAAGAGTTTGTGGCATACAGCCATGGAATGAGGCAGACGTATCGCGATAGGATGCGACGAAGGAAGGAATCGCATCAAGACCTACTGAGATCACCATTGACCCATCCACAAGTGTTGTCCTCGACTGTGTCGGCACCAGTCCTTTTGATTAAGCCGCGCTGATGAGTGAGAATGGGAGCTGAAGTGATGGGACTGACGGGGATAGCCCTCGCCGTTGCCCGCTCCATGGCTGTCACTGAAGCAGTAATCCCCGCCATAGCTGTTAAGTCTAAACTTGCTCTGTACTTGTAGAATGCCAAAGCAGAAACTGACAGTTCAACGTCCTTGAATGGGGTGAGGCTGGGGAGATAAAAAGAGGTACTTATGGATGGACGAACGGACGACTACCCGCGTAGAAAGCCATGGTTTGATCAAAGGACCCGAAGTAGAAGGAGCATTTGAGCCCGGGAAGAGGGCATGCTAGCAAAAGACCAGTCAACCACCCACCACGTTGGGCGTTCGCTTCGCAAGCCACTGGTTGCCGGCACCGAGGACTTAAGCAGTGGACAAGCTCAACGTGGTAGAGCTTAATACTAAAAGGGCAGACTTGGACCATTGCATATTGGGATATGGCCAAAGCCAAAGCGCCTTGTGCTGGCGCTGTTGCTGGCGCGAGCTCTTTGAATACGAGATGGCAATCCAGTCTGACGCAGATGCAAAGGGAGACGTTGCCGTAGAGCTGAGCGAAGGTTTCGCCAAGCCTCCAATTAACCAATCACAACTCCTACATCGCGAGGCTGAATGGGGCCGAGGCGGGCTGGATGCATCGAGACCCAAGACATTAATTCACAGACAGAACAAGGAGGACTGGATGGACTTGTGGCCAAGGAACCGGGGAAGAAGGGGGGGAAGGGGAGGGGGGACCTAAGGAAGACGCTGGTCATATACTGCGAACGACACTTTTTCAACCAAACCCGCTGTCAAATCACTCCAACATAACTCGGACTGGCTCTGACGAGGCTGTATCAGTCTTGGGCCTCCATCTCATGATGCCTGGGTCCTGCCTTGGGCGGAGGATGACTCCTGGTCAAGACTCTGCCGCCCGTGCCTCTATTTGACGCTCAGATGCTTCGCTTATTCTTCTATGCGCCCTAACCAGATGTAAACATGCCTTTCAATTCCAAAGTTTGGCGCTCCTCTGCGATCTCCTAGACCTCCTGGATATAGTTGGCAGGAACGCTTCTTGTCTCGCCGTTCTTCTCGACATCCGCCCAGCCATCTCCGGTACCCATACTGATCAGTATGAATCTTTCTCCTTCGGCCATGTCGAACTCGGCATCACTCTGGGCCGTGTAGGGGTAAAGAGCTTCCACATATTTGACCTTCTTCGCCCCTCGTCTCGGTGCCACTGCTGGCCCTTGCTTCTTCTTATTCGCACCAGTTAGGGTCGACGATGCCAGGGAGGCACTCGAATTTGAATACAATGACGGTGGGCGCTCTTGCGCGGGCGTACTGGCCGGGGTGGGCAGTTCTTCCAGGTATGCCGTAGGCACTAGACCTTCTTTTCCCAAGCCAGCATGGACTTTGGTCCAGCCGCCATCTGCTGTTGTTCAGTATAAACGAAGACAACGGTTGGGAGTTTACACACCGTCAGGTTCCAGGATCTTCACCTCCGCGCCCTCTGGCAGGGATACCTCTCCCTCGTCTCTGGCTTCATACGGGTAAAGCATCTTGCCTCTGGGTTGGCCGCTTCCGTTGGCCGCCAAGTCGGCGCCAGGTGCGCTGACGTAGGCTGCAGGGGGCGGCGCAACAATCCTGTTTCGTCTCGATGCGGTGGTGGTCGATGACCCGGAGTTGGAAGTAATGGTTGTTAACGGAGAGCTGGTCGCTGAATCATCCAGTGCTGACAACCTCGGAACACCTCCAGACAAGGACCTTGTGGCGCTAGCCGCGTAGCCAGACGACAGACTATTCATCGTATCTTGCCTCGTTAATGGAGGAGGGCCTGTAGTCCCGTTCGAGGCGGCTGGCGGAGCCTCCACGGCCATCAGGGCCGCCGCTTGCCGTTCTGTTTTCAATTTTTTCTTCTCTTCCTTTGTCTGTTCGCCTGGACAGTCTGCAGGCACTTTCATATGACATTTGCTGTGGCAGGTAAACCCGCAATCAGTACATATGAACCCTTTGGCACTCAGACCCCAAATGCGATCGCCACATAGATCACAATTAGTGGGTATTTTGAACGTCTCCGATTTGAAGGTGTGACTCTTGCCATACATGCTGAGATCACCCACCACTGAAGTAATCGTCGACGTCTCCACCTCTGCCGTCAATCGTTTACGCTCAACGGCATGGAGATCCTCCTGCAGGGCAAACTGTGATCGCACCGCTTCTACTTCGTCGCGCTTGTCTTTGCCTGCCCGCCGAGCCTGCTTCACGTTTTCTAGGTCTCGCCTTTTCTGAGCCGATTCCGCCTTGAGCTGGTTGATCAGCGGCTTGCTCTTCTGCAAGATGTTGCGAAGGAAAACTTTGGACGCATCATCGGTCATCATGTTGTCCGAATCCAGCCACACTGGCGACGGTTCAAAGACCAAGTCCGGAGGTTCCTGCCACTGCACAGCATTGTGTCGCACAAACATATTGCTGTCGAGACTTGGGTTGTTTCGGGGGATCTCGTTCGAGAGACGAGTCATGAGCTCGGTGCTTCTCTTGAGAGTGTTGGTCTCGAGTGACGCGGCAACCAGCCATATCGAATTCAGTTTCGACACACGAGTCTCGTTCAGATCCTGCAAGGAATCGAGCAATTCCGGGACGTATTCGTGATAATAGCATTCCTTCATCTTATTCGCGACATTGATACCAATCAGATATGTGTTCTTGACATTGTTCATTTCCATCAACTGCTGGTTGTACGTGCTTTGAGCCTTGCTTTTGTCCATGGACGATTCTGCCTTTTTCCTTCGGTTCTCAACCTCTTGACACACAGCATCATATCGTTGTTTTAACTTTTTCAGGTCACCATAGGATGAGTCCCTCTCTTTGACAAGTTTGGCATTATATTCGGCATGGCTCTTTCTCAATTCCTCGAGTTTCGTGCCGGCATACTCCAGCGGTGTCGCAACTTGACTTATGAGGTCTCTAGAGAATTTCGCGTGTTCGTTCGCTCGCGCCTCGAGGGTAGACAGGTGGGTGGTCCATGTCGTGAGGGAGGCAGACTCTAAAGAGCCTGGGGTCAGAGCAGGATTGTCGCCGACGCTCAAGTTGCTGGACTTTCTTGATTTCTTATCATAGTATTTCTTCGCCAGAGCGGCCAACTTCTGGCTGTATTCCTTTTCTATAGCAGAGCGTTCCTGGTAGAATTCTTGGATTTCCGTGAGCCATGTAATGCCCAGGCTCACCCAATTGTCGACCGCTTTGTAGCCGTCCTAAATCCCCATTAGTGTACAATTCAGGGCTGAGAGCGCAGTAGCCGAACCTTGAGCTCAGTGCCAAAGTTGACTGTCGCAACCTGGGCCATTGTGATCGCAAATGTCGGGTAATCCAGACGGCAACAGCATCATTCCATATCGTAGATGAAGAGGTTTCGTAGTTCTCCGATTTCTTTCGATCTTAGTGCAGACTGCGGCGCAGCAGGGAATGTATGTGTACTCATCTGACGGGCAGCTCACGCCCAGCGATTGGCGAGGGGCAGTCGATCAATCATCAAACGGTCCAAGGCACGGTAGTTTGTGGGTGACATCGAGCGGGCAAAGACTGGCCCCCAAGGGTTTTGGCTCCAGGTACCTCGTCGTGCTCGTACGGGCTGGTTAGGCGCTAAAACGCCCAGCTCTGAACCCCGCACCTGCCACCCACACGCGCCACAGTGCCCTGTCATGCCTGTCCAATTACGCCACAGTTTTAGTGGGATTTCATTCCCTGGTCACCAATTTTCCATTCCATCGACAGCAGCCTGAATCTTTCGTAGATTCACAGCAACCTATTCATCTGCCGGACCTTTATTCACTATTACTACCTAGATTGCTCGAGATTTACAGAAGTGAATCAAAGGCAGCGCGATTTTCTTTTGTATTCTTTAGCCAGCGACTTCTTCGTTCACTTCCGCCTGACTTTATCTACCTGCCCTCGATCGAGTCGGCCTTTTCCAACCTCAAGCGATCGTCGCTACATCGAAGAACTCACATCGGCAGAAAGCGCTCGTCTCTCTGAGCTCCTCATCATGTCCGAAACACCGTCCGGAAGCGGCTCCTTGGAAGACCGCATCTCCAAGCCAGAGTCTACCTCATGGGCAGATGAAGTTGCCTCTCCTGCAACCGAGAATCCACCCCCAGTCGCAAACATGGCAGAGAAAGAGCCGGAGTCAGTACCGCAGAACAACGGACAAGTCGACGGAGCTACAGAGCCTTTCGGCGGATCGCAGCTGGAGGAGCCCGACTTCGAAGTAGAGGTCAAATTGGCAGACATGCAGGCCGACCCTAATAACCCCCTCTACTCGGCCACTTCGTTTGAGCAACTTGGGCTGTGAGTTGTCCTCTTCAAGAGGTCTCTATCACTCTGCTGACCTCACCAGCAACGAAAACATCCTCAAAGGCGTTGTGAGCATGAACTTTCGAAAACCATCAAAAGTCCAAGAGAAGACTCTTCCTCTCCTCCTGATGAATCCTCCTCAGAATTTGATCGGTCAATCTCAGTCTGGTACTGGCAAGACCGCCGCTTTCGTGTTGAATATCCTACATCGTCTCGATCTTAGCAATGATCAAATGCGCAAGACCCCACAGGCACTCGTTTTGGCTCCCAGCAGAGAGCTCGCTCGTCAGATCGAAGGTGTTGTGAAGGTTATGGGCTCTTTCGTGGATGGTCTGATTGTGGCTGCTGCCATTCCTCAAGATGCAGCAAGCCGCTCGCGGAAAATCGAAGCGTCTGTGATTGTTGGAACTCCCGGCACGGTCATGGACATGATTCGCAAGCGATCCATGGACGTCAGGTCCGTCAAAGTCTTGGTGCTCGATGAAGCAGACAACATGCTGGATCAACAAGGTCTCGGTGACCAGTGCATCCGGGTCAAGTCGTGAGTAGCGGCGTTGCCCAGAAGTCGTTGCCTTCACATTAACCAGCTTATAGGATGCTCCCGAAAAACATCCAAATCGTTTTATTCTCTGCCACATTCCCGGAAAATGTCGTCCTATATGCCGAAACCTTTGCTCCAGGCGCAAATCAGTTAACTCTCCAACACAAGGATTTGACGGTCGAAGGTATCAAACAGATCTACCTTGACTGTGACAGTGACGAGGCCAAGTATGAAATCTTGGTCAAATTCTACGGTCTCATGACGATCGGCTCGTCCATTATCTTTGTCAAGGTAAGCCATTTCCTTCAACATATCTGTTTCGGGCGGCTCACGCAGGATCTAGACGCGAGAAACGGCACACAACATTGAGCGACGAATGTCTGCTGAAGGCCACAAAGTGGTATCTCTAACTGGAGGAATTGAAGGAGCGCAGCGCGACGTCATCATAGACTCATTCCGCATGGGTCATGCCAAGGTCCTCATCACGACCAACGTCCTCGCCCGTGGGATCGACGTGCAGTCCGTGTCGATGGTTGTCAACTACGATGTGCCGGACAGATTTGTCGGTGGCGGTCGATACGTCGCAGATCCTCAAACATATCTTCACCGTATCGGTCGAACTGGTCGATTTGGACGCGTGGGCGTGGCTGTGACGTTCGTCAGCAGCCGAGACGACTGGCAGAAGCTGATGGAGATTCAGAAATACTTCAACACGCACATGACCAAGGTCTCTACGGATGACTGGGACGAGCTTGAGGAGCAGGTGTCAAGGATCATCAAGAGCTCAAGAGCGGGTGCCAATTTTACGGATGGTGCAAACATGAAAATTCAGTCGTGAAACGGATAGGGATGCCATGGTGCTGAGCAATTACGGAAAGTGTGTTTCTCAACGAGAATACGGAGGTGGCCAGGATGAATTACGAATGCCTTGTTGATGGAGCTATGATTTACAAGGCGGCAAAATGAGGGAATCTGCTTCGAGATGTGCCTCTGTTGATGTGAGCGACAGGGTCTTAAGGAAACTCGGATTGAGCATATTGCCGTTCGCTGAATGCCATGGAAAGGATGATAGAAATAGGAGTGTTACTCGATGTCAAGATACCCACAAACGAAACTTTGGTACGGAAAAAGAGAGAAAACCACAAACCAACCAAAGTTGAGATGCGGAGGAAGCCAATGAGCCCTCCCTTGGACGTACTCTTTCTCTTTGACCTTGGTCTGCCTTTCTTTTGGACAGGGACCTTTCCCCTTGGCTACCAGGGGCTCACCAGTCGCAAGACGCTCCCAAGAGAGCTGCTACTTTCTCGAGGCCTTCCCGGTCTTGCTCGTCGAAGCCGTTGAGCTCCGCACAGTCGATGTCGATGACGCCGACGACCTATGTAGACGGGCGATTAATCGGCCATTCAACTCGGCAGGTCGCAAGAAAGGGAGGGCGAGAGAGAGATAAGTGACTGGGGGAAAGCCTAGTTGTAATGTGTAACGACAGTAGTGATTGTAATGGTGAATGTGATGGTGATCACGATGGTAAACAGCATAGGAGGAGACGGAGAGAGACTCACCTTCGCACCGGCGTGGATCGGGACGACAATCTCGCTCTTGGTCTCGCCATCGCAGGCAATGTGGCCGGGAAAAGCCTCGACGTCGGGCACTACGAGACTCTTCCCGGCCGAGGCGGCGGTCCCGCACACGCCCTTGCCCAGGACGATGGTCTGGCAGGCGACCTTGCCCATGAAGGGGCCCAGGATCAGCTGCGTGGGCGGGTTGCTCGTTGGGTCGAGGACGTAGAAGCCGGCCCAGTTGACGGCGCGGGCCTGCGAGGAGACGTACGCGGGCAGCGCGCGGTACATGTGCCAGAGCAGCGACGCCGCGTTGGCCAGGTTGCACACCCAGTTCCGCTGCGACTCGACCAGGGCCTCGAGCGCCGCCAGCAGCTGCGCGTACGCCGCGGACTTGGTCCCCACATCGGTGAAGTGCGAGTACTCGGCGTGAGGCTGCTGGTGGTGCTCTTCTTCTGCCTTTACCTCTGGCGCCGACTCTCGCTCTTTTTCACCCTATTTTGCTCACAAGCACATTCGACTCCCAGTCAGTCTTTTCCGCATCATTCTTTTCCATGCGGCGATGATAAGTAGGAGGGCAAGAGGAGGGCAAGGAGGAGTGCTGGCTCTTTTACCATGGTCAGATCCCGTCACTGGCTGGATTGATCAACGTATCTTCGTAACAATTGTTTTTTTTTTCCTTCTTCTTTTTTTCCCGGATCCCTCCTCCGTGTCCTCTCGGATGACCTTCTTCGTCTCTCGCTCTGACAACGGTTCCTCTCGTCGAAAGGGCGCCTTTGTCAACCGTTCCAAACTCTTGCTGGTACTTTGTGGTGTCGGGTTGGCGGAATGTGGAGGGGAGCAAAGCGGGTCGAGACGCGCATCAAAGATTCTCCGTTCCGCAGTTGAGCCACAAGAATTTACTTGCGGGCACACCGTGGGTAGGTATGCGACAAACCCATTTGTAACAGACCCTCTTTGTGGGTGGCCCATGGTATTCTGTTTAAGTGTATGAGAGATGGTGTCCCAGGAGGAACAGATTCATTTGTTCACATCTTTGTTTCTCCTTTCCCCCCAAGTGTCTCACGACAATATTCCAGGACGGACTACCGAGTCCCCCTTGCGAGGCGTGACCCAGATCTATACGATCATTACACCGCTCAAGGTGAAGGATGGGCGTCGTGGAAAACGCAACTGCCTCAGACGTTGCTACTCTGGATCCAGGATGAAACCCAAGTATCATCAAGCCATCATCAGGTGCACGGACTAGGACCCAGAAGGACATATCACACTCCGGGTCCGTGTTCTCGCAAAAGTTCATCAACCACCACCAGACCCGGGGGCGGATCAGGATACGGAGTTTCGTAGGGATCAATGTTGGTCGTTAGATGACACATTGTCGTCGTGGTACAAGTAAAGGACCCGGAGCCGACATCCTCGCTTGAAGCGCTGTAACGATCGTATGGATTAATGACGCCACCGAGGAGCAGCGTCTAGATTCACCATCTCGAGCGGAGGCCAAGGGGGAAGCATTTCTGGGCTGTCCCCGCCCAGCCGGGTTCCGGCACTGAGTATCACGGAGTATCGACTGCATGCGTTCCCCATATTCTTACCATTCACATGGTGTACCCCAGGACGCATGTAAATAATGCCTCAGAACAATTGATTGTCTGCCGTGCCTAGCTACGGTATATTATAGGTGTGCGAGACAGAAAGCCTACCTGTCCTCCCCTCCCTCCCTACCGGCTCAACACCGTTCGCAAACACGGCCTTTTCTGCTCCCGAATCGGACTCGGCTGAACTTCACCTGAATCCACAGTCGCCCTGTGCCCTGCCCTACCACGCAATTAGTCGGAACTAGTCATGCGGCTACAGATTCGGACCATGCTATCCAACGGAGGAGGTGGGTGGGAGGGGGGAAGAAGCTAAGGAGCTTATCACCGCATGTGCGAAACCCAGATGTCGTCCCTGCATGCAGCCGATCATCCACACATATTGGTAGCTGTTCGACTCGGCCGCTCGTTCACGGGTATAAAGCCATTGGACGAGGGATCCCTCGGATCAAGCCCTTTTTAAATGATGCAGGTCTTCTTCGCTTTCATCCAACAATTCATTCCTCGTTCTCACACACACTTACCTCCCTTCGCACCCATCCGACTAAAGCGAGCCGGAGACGACAGAGAGATATAAAGATCCGACGAGTGCGCCCGTTCACCCTTCGGGTCTTTTGTTGGAAATAGAGACAGTGTAGGAGGAAAAAAGGAAGCAACAATCATGTCCTGTCCCGACTGCTTTCGCGGCGCCGTCCACAACCACTCGGAGCCCACGGGCAAGATCGAGACGGTCCACGGAATCCAGGCGTATGTGGCCGGCGGCAGCGACCCCGCGCGGTCCAAGTCGGCCATCATCTACCTGCCCGACGCCTTCTCGCTCAAACTGGTCAACAACAAGATCCTGGCGGACAAGTACGCCGCCTCGACGGGCTGCCGGGTCTACATCCCGGACGTGGTCTACCAGGGCGGCATGCCCCCGGTCGTGCTCGAGAAGATGGACCACCTGATGGACAGCCGGTTGAGCGTGTTCAATTTCCTCCCAAAGGTGTTCACCGCGCTCACCCTCATCCCCTACATCGTCCCCTTCATGTACAGCGGCCACCCGAAGAACCCGTACCCGACCATCCTCAAGTTCGCGCGCGACGTGCGCGCCGAGCTCCCCGAGGGAGGGAAGCTCGGCGTCTGCGGCTTCTGCTGGGGCGCGTGGCCGGCGACGAAGCTGTGCACGGAGACCACCGTCGAGGGTGGCCAGGAGCGCCTCATCGACGCGCAGTTCAACGGACACCCGTCGTACATCAGCGGGGAGCCGCAGATGGTCGTGGACGCGGTCAAGACGTTCAAGGTCCCCTACGCGTCCGCGGTCGCCGAGAAGGACTTCCAGTTCAACGCCGACGTCGCCGCCAAGGTCGAGGCCCAGCTCCGCGAGGCCATCGGCGGGAGCAAGGGCGACGGCGAGGACGGGTACGACTACGATTTCCGCATCTACAAGGGCGCCACCCACGGCTTCTGCGTCAAGGCCCGCGAGGTCGACATGCAGAACTACCACGACGCCGCAAAGCAGGCCGCGGACTGGTTCAACAAGTTCCTGAACTGAGGGACAAGTCCTGGAAACCGGAAATGAGAAGAGGAAGCTAAGATGGGGTTTGGGGAGGAAATTGGCTTGCGCGACGCGAGACCGGAACCGAGCATTTTGGACGTCTGAGACACATACTCACGTACAGAGCAAGAGGCACAAGGGAAATTCTTTTGTCTGGAGAAGTAAACTCGTTGTTTCCACCAAAGAGCAGGTCAGGGCAAACAATACAAGGAACGGAACGAGAAGAAGAGACGGGAACAGTGTCTCTCGCATCGAGGTATAACGGGAGAAAAGCAGAAGAAGAACACGGGACCTCCGATCGAACGAGCTTCTCAGTTACCTGGCTCTCCTCCCGCTGCTGCTGCTGCTGCTGCTGCTGCAACACAGCAACCCACGACCTTTCCTACGGATTTCTCTTCTCGACAATCAATCCCACACCTTCTAGGAGACCCTGTCCTGCTGCCGCCGCGACCTTCTTCTTCACCACCAGGGCTCAAACGAGTTTGTCGGCGCATAACGGAGGCCATCAATCTTAATGTATACATTATATACCTCCCACATGGGCCATGGGTTATAGGTCATGCGGAATACCCGAGCTTGTATCCCAGGCACGTCCCCATTGACGTATTTACCCACTGGCCCATTCACTTCTTGTCCAAGCTTTGATTCTTTCGTCGTTCCTCCTTGTATCACTAAGTGAACGGTTGTGTGGAAAACAACGAGAGACTTCTTTAGGCCAGCTGGAACCCGTGTCCGCGGAGAGAGTAAAACGTAAAATAAAGGTTCATTGTTCTACATGTAACACAGACTCGTTTGTTTCTTGCTAGATGATCACCCGTTCCTAGATCCCTCCCTCCCTCCCTCCCTCCC